AGTTCAATACTTAAATTTACTATAAAAACATATAAGTAGATCACAACCCATATATTAAATTTACTATAGATCAGTACCATTTTGATACTAGTTTGATACCAGTTCGGTATTTTTTAGAGCTCTAGTTAAGCCTTATATAGATATATATATAATATTTTATATATTTTTATTTTATTTATTATTTTAAAAAAGATTGTAACAATGAAAATATATTTAAGGATACCTTTTTAACCTTTAATAAAGTTAATTAATAATTTTACAACTATAAAATTATCTTGTTTATACTTAAAAGTCTTTAATAAAAGGATTTTATTCTTAACTTTTACAATATAAACTAGACTATATTCTATATTAATCAAATCCAATCAATACTCTATTTCCAATAATATTTAGAGCCCTAGCTTAAGTTATTCCAATCTTATATAGAGCCTAATTGGTTTGAAAAAATAATCAGTCACAAATGGTAAGAAGAATTCAGTCTTGTATTTAGAAGCAAATCCTAGCAAAGATATAATTTGAGATTTGGATAATAAGATAAAGAGACACTTGGACTAATCTTTCTAATTAAAACTTCTCTAGATAAAGTTAAACCATATAGGTTAGATAGTTGTAAATTAGTAATAGAATTTCTATATCCTATAGGACTCTCCTAGTTGTCAAAAAAGAAATTATTGATGACAATAGGTTTCTGGACAGTTGGATATAAAATAGGGTATAGGAGATAATCTGTATAGAGTATATAATATACTGACTTGTATAAGTCCTAATATTGTAGCTGTAATAGATATAAGGTATTTATTAATAAAAATTCTGCAAATTTCATATTTTTACCTTTTAAAAAAAATATTAATAAAATAAACAATCACTTCATATTTCAAATTTTTTTAAATCACTTTCAGAGAACTTCTTATATCTACTAATTATATATATATTATTCTATTTTTAATAAATTATTGGCAATTCTTTAATATTTATATTCTATATATTTTTATCATATACAGTATATTATACTATTGATGAAAATTTTTTTGTTTTTTAATCATTTTGTTAACTAGTATAGATATATTACTATAATTTTAATGATTTAATATATTTTCTATATAATATTTTTTTCTTTTTCTTCAAGAATTCTCAAAATATCTATATAGTTTTGAATAGTGCAGTAAATTCAGAGTGCTGCAGCTCAAAAACCAAGTTGCGAAGCTTCTTTGACATTTCAAGCAACTATTTGCAAAAAGACTAGAGAAATAACTTTTATTAAAATCTCAAAAGTGATTGTTTTATTGATATTTTAAGTAATTTCGCTTTTTCTCTTACAGATAAGAATTTTCTTTGATAATCATTCCAAACATAACAAATAATTCTTTGGCTAATTCTTTTGTGTAAATAGATAAACTACACATAAATAATTAGATTAAAAGCGATTTACAATTGTACAAAATATTATAAAAAGGTTGTATTTTCTTTTAGCTTTGAGAAGAAGAAAAAAAAACAATTATTATAATTATAAAATTTTGAATTCTTGTATTTTTTTTAATTTTCTTTTAATAAAATTATATTTATCTCATATTATTCTTTTATATTTTTCTATTGTTTTTCTATTGAAATTCAATATTTTTATATAGTTATCTTTTGATTTCAATATTAGGACTAAATTGTAAAATTGACTGAAACAATAATTTTGAATTATTTATGTTAATTTATTTAATAGTATTTAAAACAAAACATACAGTAGTGGACATAAGTAACCAACACTCCTAACTCTTATAAAGTTAAGTAAATTTAATAAACTTTTTTTTTTTAAAAAATTACATCACTAATACTGATCCTCAGTACATTGTATAATTCCTCTGTACTTCTATTAAAGCCTCCACATGACGATTCATGCTGTCTACTAACTATTTTATAGATCTTGTATATAAAATTAGCACTGAGGTTTTGCTGGAAGCACACTAACCTGTCAAATCCGGGAGCTGAAAAACATCTCCACACATGGATCTTTGGTAAATGCTTGATCATATAAACGATTTTTTTTTTCTATTGAATTGTCAACTCTTTCTTTTCAACAGGAATAGGTGGAAGGAACTCTCATTTATAAAAATAACCGAGTTTCAATCAAAATTTTGATGTTTTTTTGCCCACTGGAGCCATTTTTTTCAATGGTTATCTATAAGAAGAGGTTTTTGAATTTTGTTCACATACTTGCTCCCAAATTCACAAATATGCTGCCAAATAGTTTTTGAACTAATGCTTATGCCCTTTTTTTCCATAATTCCTTATATTTCATCACTAGTTATATTGTGTTCTGTCTTTGCCATTTTGATTATTTATTCATCTTGCTTCATTGTCGTGTTGCACCTCTGGCTGGTTTTTGATTCATCAAACAGATCTTTCGAGATCTGCCACCTTTGAACCCAATAAATAACTGTGGATTTAGAGCAGCCAATATAAGCTACTATTTTTGAAAAACTCAAGTTCTTTATCTTCGGGTGTTCATGTAAAAACATGATCTCGTAACATTTATAAAGTGAAAGAGTCATAATTTGGGTGCAGTATTCATTGATTATCTATCTTCTGACTTAGAAGTCACACAAACCTGTAAATATACAAAAGATCAGGGTTGGTGTTACCCTTGAATAGCTAAAATTTTGAAGAGGCATTATTAAGTAATTTAAAAAGATGGACTGGTCAGTTACTTATGTCCAGGACTATATATTGAATAAATTAAATCATTAAGGATTGAAAATTATTTTTATTAGTAATTTTGAAATCTATCAAGGGAGAAACTGAAAGTTTCAATATATTTGATTATAAATTTCATCTTCTTTTGATTTTCTTTGATATTTCTTTGATTATTTTATTTTATTTTATTTTATTTTGTTTTTATTTTTTTTTATTTCATAGAAACACCCTGTTCACTGCAAGTCTAAATTGGCATAATTCTCATTTTGCTCTCTTAAGGCAATAACAATATATATATCAAATATTATATTAAATTAATCCAATTGTTTTTTTCTAAAATTGAAATTAATATTTTATAATAAAATTTGAAAATATAAATTATTATTATGTATTTCTTTTGAAAATGATATTGCAAGAGTTTGTTTAAGTTTAAGGATATATATATATTTGTTAGAATATGTTGTTAAACTTTATATATATTGCTTTGGTTTTTGAAAAGTTATTTATATTTACTGTGTATTGGTTAAATAAAATTTCAAAAAGTTTGCAACACATTGTATATAAATAATAACATAATTATCATTTTTGATAGATTTACTTTTGTACAGATAATTAACATAATAGTAATAAAGCTATACATTTAATGCATCTCAAATGTATAAATATAGATAAGAAAAAGTAATTTTTTTGTATTTACAATTGATTAAATAAAACAAATTTATTATAAACACAATTTCTTTAAAAAAATTAAAGGCTGGATTTTATAAATAATCGACTACTTTTATTAATAACTATACACACGTACAAATCGATATTGTAAAATTGAAATTTGCATTTGATAAATATTAAATTATAAAGAAACGTTTATATAATATGATATACATTTTTTTATTATTGCTTAAGTATATTAAAAAAAAAAGGAATTTGAATAATGATACATGCACAATTAATATTTGCTATAAATTGAAAAAAAAAAAAAAAAAAAAACCTATTATTACTAAGTAATTATTTTACTTCTAATAAATGCCATATAAAGAATCAATGATAGAGATGAATGCCGATGCATATATAAAGTCGCAACAATTATTATTAAAATATATTCTGAGATAAATTATCTCTTATTATTATACTAGTAATAGTTTCCATCTTTTCCAAATTCCATATGTCATAAATAAAGACATACGGCAAAGTCTTCACATAAAGCAACGTACAAACACCTTTCAGAAGAATGTCTCGTAAGGCTGATGACAAAAAGATCCCTGGGATTACGCTTCCACGCAAAAAACAAAAACAAGACTCTGTTTTTTTGGATCAAGAAAATAAACGAGATGACAATGCGTCGTCAGAAAATAATAAATCTAATATTGTTGAAATACAATTAACGAACCTGTTATTATTATCCAATGTGTATTCCTACATAATTTTCCATTCTTTCAATCATGAGCTCCTGATCAAAGATAATAAATTAAAGTCGATAAGAAAACCATTGATATGCCTTAAATAGAAAATCAAGAAAAAAATCGTACCGATAGACTGTTGTTAATAGTCATCTTCCGAGGAATAAGCTTCTAAGAAATGAAATATCAGGTTTTAGTTAAAATATTACCACGTATAACGCATAAAAAATTGATGTACCTTGCTCACTCCAAACCTCTTCTTCATCAGGGTAATCATGCGTATAGTAGTCTTCCGCTATAAAAAACAAGGTTTCAATTTAATCATAACGTTTATGTAAGAGAAACTCTTATACGACTGACTAACCATTGGAATCTTCTTCATCAGAATATTCGAATTCATCTTTAGTTGCTTCCTTCATAAAAATATGATTATCTTCTTCAAACCATGTTCTGTCGAGAAATATTACGATTAGCTGTTATATATTATATATGTATATATGTTGAGCTTAGTGAGAACACATACAGAGCAGCAATATTATGATAATCATTAGTATCATCAAAGCTCATAAAATCATCACGGTAATAAACGTCGTAAACATATTCGTCATCACTCTCAACATGATCTTCTTTATCAGCGTTCTCCTCGACTAATTGTCGTTTGTAAAAAAGAAAAATGGTTATACATATTAACATTATTCTAGTAAGTAAATAATCGGGTAAACTTACGAGTAAGATACTCTCGGATCATAGGAATGAAATTACACATAATATCAGAATCTTGATCATTAATTATGTTGAGAGTCCTATATTTATAAGCATTATCATAATTCATTTAGATAATCGTATATCAAAAACTCATTCAAGCGATGAGTGAAGAACTCGCACTTTCGTGAAGATGCTTCCTCCTCTCTGACAGCATCATACATCTTGAATAATTCGTTAGAAACCTCTTCGCCATCCTCATTTTCATCACTAGAGAAAGATTATTTTTAAGAACCGAAGCAAGTAAACGAAGGCAAAATAAATCTACAAATTTAACTAACCTAGAAAATAACGACGCGCCACTTTTTTGTCGGTTCCTGTCAATTACCTTGTACCTTTCTTTTCTTGCGCTCTCTTTGAACATAGCAATTTGTTGATCTCGAAATTTCTTAACTTCGTGTTCCTTACGCCGTACGGGATCCTTACGATTGATCAGCTTCACTATGCGATCCTGGAGCCATAATTGTAGATCTCAATCTTTTTTTCTCCATCTTTAAAAGTAAACAAACTCCTATCCAAGAACGTACTTTCAACTGTTGTTTCTTGTTTGAATCGCTGAAACTAATCTCGTCGACTGTTTCTGCAAATCGAAATATGAGCGGTACAGATTCTTTTTCGTGATCTAAAATGCAAAAGGTAATTATAATTTATCGCAGAGGACAAAAAAACTGTCAACGTATATTAACCTTTGCTCTCGTCTGAAACATTTTCTTTTCCTTTATCATCAGTTTGTTGCTTAGGCCTCTTCTTTTTATGCTCGATTCCATTCTCAATAAGTTGTTTGACGACTGAAAAAAAATCGCCAAGGTTAGTTAAAGTCAGTAGATTCAACAAAGGCACGAATGTAATTAAAGTACCGAGCGCGTCTAATGGCTCCGCGTTGCGCTTGCGTTTCAATCTTACAATAGTGAACTCGGTAGTTGTCCTGTCAACTTCCATTTAGAGGTGCGCATTTGAATTGCAAACATATTTATGCCATCACGCAAAAAGATCATAGACGAATTTGATTGGCTGTCTTTCTTTATTATAAGAAAATTTATTCCATCGCATGTCAGATCCTGATTTTTCGCATCAATATTCGAAAGGTAAGAGATTGGACTCGAAAAAAAATTTTTTTTTTCTCCAGAAAAAGTTTAATTGAACAGCGAAATTTCGAAATCTTTCATTTACCAAGAATGAAGCACCTCGCAGCCTATTTGTTGCTTAGCCTCGCCGGAAAAACTCCTGATGCCAAAAGCATCACGTCCCTTCTCGAAACTGTCGGAATCGAGGCTGATCCTGACAGGATAAAGACCTTACTATCAGAATTAAGTGATAAAGATTTAAACGAAGTCAGAAAAATTGTGAATTTGACATCTCGTTGAAAAATTCTCGATTTAAATTTATGATATTCTTTTAAATAGATAATTTCAGAAGGATCATCTAAACTTTCTTCTGTTCCATCCGGCGGTGGTGCCGTCTCATCCGGAGGTGCGGCCGGTGCTACCGGCGGTTCTGCTCCAGCTGAAGAGGCCAAAAAGGAAGAGGCTAAAGAAGAAGAAAAGGAAGAATCCGATGAAGTATGCTATTCTATTTATTTGTTTTACGCTTTTTTCAGAATCTTAATTAATTAATTAATAATTAATTACTTTAATTAGGATATGGGATTCGGTCTTTTTGACTAAAGGCATTGAAATACTCGTCAATTGTACTCTGAAGCGAATTATATTATGGTGATTAACGTAATACAAAAATTAAAAAAATTATTTAGGCACGTTAAATTTACATCAATTTGCGACTGGTGCATTAAATAACTTTTCATACTTATGAGGCTTTGTCTTAAGGATTAAAATGACTTTCAAGATTTTATGTATAAATATATTCGAAAGTTCATAGCGTCATGTAATGCCGTAAATTAAAATGTCAAAAAGATCTGAACTTCTATTAAATAAAAAAACAAAAAACTAAAAGAACCGAATATAACATTATTGATACCCTGTCGCCATGATGAAATTGTTGATGCTGTAATTCTATCATCTCTTAGCTAACAGCACTTTCATTCAACCTTTGTCCGCTTTGAGGAATTACGTCTCTTTTGAGCTTACATCAATGGGCTCAGTTTCTTCACCAGTAGTGATAACTGATTTTGATGTGTCCTCGGTGGCATGTTCTTTATTGGCCGATACCAAAGGTCCAAATTTTTTCTCGTAATGCTTCAACTTCGACTGTAGTTGAAATATTAAGTCCTGAAGGCGCTCAATTTCGGAATCAAAGGCAATAGACTGGTTTTCATAATCTGCTCAAAAATTTTTAAAAAGAGTACAGATTGGAACAATCAAATGAGACTAAAGCGGTCTCACAAATTTGTTTAGAACTTGCACCTTCAAGTCCATGCCTGAGCTCGTTGATTAATTTTCTTTGCATAGCAATCTCTACTTCATACTGTTCCACTCGACCTTGACGTAGTTGTCGTCCCAATTCCTCATTCTCATCCTGTAATGCTTTCAACTTTGTGACGAGCTTTTTACCAGTGATGCTGTGGTATGCAAATATCATTGTTACCATACGTTAAATAAATATATATATAACACAGCTGCCGTCGTGATCACTTTACTAACCTATTGGGGGTAAAACTCACACCAGTTAATTCTCGTTGTAAATTTTCAATTGTTTTCTCTTTCTCTTCCGACTCCTTCTTCATTGCACGAAATAACGCGTTAATAGCCGGATCAAGGAATTTCTTACGGAGTGATTGATCGAATGTAAAATCCGGTGTGAGCGTTTGAGAAAGGTTATGAAGTTCCCCCTAGAAAGTCACGGTGATAGCAACTATTAACCATCAAGTTGGTGATCACAAAGAGATGTACCAGGAGAGTAAATTTAATGATAGTTGCCAACAAGTTTTGAATTTCTTCCTCTTTCTTCGTTAATCTAATCTGCAATTCCTGCGGTGATTGTTGCGACAGTTGCGTTTCCGGTATTTGTGATTGAGTTTGCGACTGGTGTGATGATGAAGTTGATGAACTTTGCAAATGTGCTTGATTATTATTACTTCCTTTCCCTTTAATAGAAGAGATCAATGACTGCACTGTAGATGCTGATTCTTTTTCTTTGTCAACGTCCGAAGAAAATGTCGGTATACTGGACGTTGAATTTTGATTCAATGGATGTGTGGCACCCAGCGCGCGAACGATGGGACCACTAGCCTTGCTCTGCTGAGTGGTTAAGGACATCATTTTGGGTGAGAATGACTCGGACTTTACCGAGTTTCCTGAATTTCCGGAACCGTTGGAATTCTCCTGTTTGATCTATCAATGTGTTAATGAAATCACTCGGCGATCAACTTCATCTTTCGTAAACTCAAACCTTCTTGGGTGGTTCATTAATGCTAACTCGGCGTTCTTTATACGATAACGAATTAGCAAATACCGCGAAATTTCCAACACAAAAACGTTACCACCAAAAAAATCTTACCATCGGCCGGGGAGGTCGAAAGCCTTCGTTTTTTCGGCGGCGAGGCAGAAGCAGACATAGCAGTAAGAAAATGGAATTTTAAATTCGAATTGATTTATTAATTCTTATTGAATGTAGTGCCTGAACAAAGGTTTACATTTGCACCATAACAGGCGTGGTATCTTAATTCGTCGCCGGCAGTGTAAACGGATCACCTGACTTGTTGATGTTTTGCCGGAAAAAATTATAGGTATTACTTGTTTATATAAATACAATAAATTTATGTTAACTTACTTATTTAAAAAATTTAATTTGAAAAATATATTTTATAACTTGTTAATTCATATAATTTAAAATAAGATATTATAATCAAATTTTAAGTTTAATAAATAAAAATAGATTAACTATATTGCAATTTGATTTTTAAATAAGATTATATAATTAAATCAAAATTTCAAATTACTAATTTAATTTAATTATTAAAATATAATATTAAAAAAATATTAAAAAAAAAAAACTCTTTCCCGCAAATCCCCAAATTCCTAAAAATTTCCTTTTTTGGTAATACTACAAAACACTCAAAAAAACACTCAAAGAAATACTCAAAGAGAACATCCAAAGGAAAACTCTATAATATCTTCTTGAAAACAAAGGAGGACTAACATAACAGGTATACTGTGGGTTCAAAAAATATATTAACCCTTCTTTATTTCTTAAATTTAGAGACAGATACTTGTGATTCCTCACTGGAAGAAAAGGAAAAACAAGGAATACAATTCACAGTAAAATTAAAAGAAAAAGTCAGCATCACACTTCACAAGCTGCTAGATATCTCCCTAGACATCAGCAGGACTCAGTATTGGCCAGATCACACCCGGTAAACTAGGCAACCTCGCATATCAACACAAAATCAGAAGAGTCCCAAGACTTTCTCATTACTGTAATTAAAAAGAAAAATACAAATTTCAATATTTTTTGAAGATAAACAACATCTGTTACATAATCAGTTTTTTGGTGGAGACAAAAAACCAGAGACAGATTACCCCTCCCAAAGATCAACAGTAATGCAAACATGTACTTTTCAGAACCAAACAATATCAACAACTGCCAAACAAACAAACACAGCAATCCAAAACACGACACGTGTACCCAACAGATTCAAAGTTTATCAAAGTTAACTTACCCCCAAAGCAAGATCTGCAGTAGTACGAACACGCTATCACTACAAACAAAGCAACAAAACACAAACAGAGCTTACCAAAACAAGCAGTCCACAAACAACTTGGTATAAC